CGTGTGTAAGGAGAGGGGCGGTGGGGAGAAGGAGGTCTCACCTGGCCAGCAGACCCACTGCATAGTGGTGGGTGTCGGCACAGAGCAGCGTGTCCCAAGCACACTTGCGTTCCATTGCCATCAGTAAATCCACACACTGCAGATGGTGGAACAATGCCTTCACAGTGTTCACTACAAAGCTGTGTGCAGAACAAAGCCCAGGTTATGCTGGGACCCCAGGCTTTAGCCCTGGGGACATGGGAGTGACAGGAGGACTGGAATGGAGCACCTGTTGGGATTGGTGGGAAGGCCATTTTCCTCCTGACATCTCTTCCAGAAAGTATTTACGTCCTCTGACATCTGCTCTGTAGTGATGAGAACTTGGCAGAGCAGAGCCACAAGGAGATGGGGGGAATATTCCACAAATGGCTCTGGGCACCAGGGCAGGCGGAGCATCTCCCAAATCACCCTGGTTCCCTGCAAAGGATAAACCATCTAGAGACATCACTCAGTACCGAGTGGGAAGACCTGAGCATATGAGGAAGAGGCCAGAGAGACACAGGGGTAGCATCTGGCTAGTGCCCTTGAACCTGCCCCTAAACCAGGTTTCAGCCCAGTGCCTGAGGCAGGGAGATGCATTGCAGTGGGGGAGAGGATGGAGAGGCACTGGAGAAGCAACCTGTGTACAAGCAAAGGCCAGTTACAGAAACTCACAGCCAGGGCAAATACATCCTTATTGTCCCCATCAGAGGTGTACATTTTTTGCAGTGGCCAGCCATCCATCACACAAAGCAGTGTTGGCAGCACCTTTTCCACTGTTGTTCCTGATGAGGCTATGGTCTTCCACATGATTGCTGCACCTCTGCAGGACCAGAGCTGTGTCAGGGGCGTCTCAGCCAGAGCACTGTAGCCTGGGCAGCTACAAAGGCCCAGATGACAGAACCACAGTGCCCTGAGGCGTAGGGAGGGAACACGTCAGGAGGCTTAGGGGCTGACAAGCCAGGGCTGGGAAATGGAGGGTCCAGTGGCTCCTGGAACTCTCTGCCTGTCTAGCAGACCCCATTGGACTGGCTGTCCAGGGTGATGGGTCCTACAGGCTGGTGAGACCTGAGTCCTCAAGGCAGCTGGGCACTGTACCTGTCACATGATGGGGCACAGCGCAGGAGGGTCACTGCGACATCGGTGGGGTGTGCCTCAGTCAGCCGCAGGATGTCCATGAACAGCCTGTCGTCTGGAGACCCGTCGGACACGAGCTTCTGGTGCATGTTCCTCACAAAGCCCGGCACCTGCAGAAGGCACGGGGAGACTTGGAGAGCTGCCAGAGCAGCAACTTCCCCAGCTTCCCTGCAAAGTGCTTCCCTTCCCACCACATTGGGCTGGGCCTGAAAGGCTGAGGAGGCCCAGTGGAACTGGCTTGAGGTGTCACGCAATTCCTGGGGGCACCCAGCCCTGGCCACAGGCCACTTACTTGACTCGGATTGGAGACAAGTCTCTCCCCAAAATGATCCAGGCTGGGAGCAGCAGCTATGCTCTGAGGGGCTGTGGGGCCAGGCTCTGCTGCACCCTTGGTAAACATGGTGAGCATCTCTTGACACCAAGGGACGTTTGAAAACATCTGCAAAACAAGGAACAATAGGGAAGAGAGGGATGATCCATTGAATGCTCCAAGGGTGATGCTCGGCTGAGAAGATGGAGATGGCTCTCAGTACCTGGCCTACAGAGTGCCAGCAGCTACGGGAAGAGTCTGGCCCTTGTGTCTGGATCTTGGCTGAATCTGGCAAAGAGCAAGGAATGCCAGAGCTGAGGGGCTGCAGGAGAGGCCAGAGAGGACAGCCCAGTCCTGTAGTCCCCAGGCAGGGACAGCCCCGGGATGGCCCAGGCTAGCAGGGCCTCCAGGTCCAGCCCAGCAGAACCTCCAGGCCCAACCCCTCTTCTGTCCTATTCATGGGCAGGTCCAGAGGGAAGGGATGGGATGGGGCAGGGCCAAGCTGGCTGCAGGCACCAGCCCTGTGGCCCAGCTCTGCCACTCACCCCTCTTCAGCAGCTGGAACCGCTCCAAGTCAGTATGTTGCTGTGGCAGGACACCACTAGGGCATTTTTCCACCATCTTGGGTAGGCTGGGAGGTCTCTCTGCCATGTCAATGTCTCAAAGTTCTGATCATGGCAGTGGAAGAAGAGCGGGAGCAGGCTCTGGCTCACGTGCTTCTTCAGGGCCTTTTTCCCCTTTGCCACGACCGATTCCATCACCACTTGGTAGAGGCGAATGGAGAGCTGCTGCACAAGGCCGTTGTCCTGTCGGAAAGGAAGCAAAACTCCTCCGCATTAGCTGCTCCAGGCCCCCCTGCGCCCCGGCCCAAGGCAGCACCCAAGTGCCCGTGGCTGGGGGCACAGAGCCTTACATTGTCAAAGAGCGGCCAGAGCGGCTGGGAAGGAGCCTGGCACCAGGCTCAGGAGCTGACAAACAGAGGAGCCACAGCGGCCTGGAACGCTCCGCCTGTCTGGCAGTCATCAGGGCCAGGCCCTACAGGGTGACAGGCCCGTGAACCCTAAGCCCTCGAGGCACGTGGGGCTGCCCTACCTGTCACACGACGGGGCCCAGCGCAAGAGGGTGACCAGCACATCCAAGGGGTATTCCTTGGTCAGCTCCAGAAGGGCCTTGTCCAGCCTGCGCTCAGCAGACTGGTTGGCCGTGAGCCACCCGTGCATGTACCTGACCAAGGCTGGCACCTGCAGAAGGCACGGGGAGACTTGGAGAGCTGCCAGAGCAGCAACTTCCCCAGCTTCCCCTGACAAGCGCTTCCCTTCCACCATACTGGGCTGGGCCTCAAAGGCTGAGAGAGCCTGACAGACCTGGCTGGAGGCACCACACCATTGCTGGGGCCACCAAGCCCTTGCCCCAGGCTGCTTACTTGCTTTGGATCGGGGACACCCTTCTCCACAAGCAAATCCAGCATGGCAGCACTGGTCTCGGCATCGAAGAGCTGAAAGTCGGCCAAGACTCCGCTGCCCGCCCTAGCGGTCTCTTCCTGCCCAAGGCACGTGATGAAATCACTGATGGTCTGCAGGGAAGGCCAGCAAGACAGGGAGAATCCATGGAGTGCTCCAAGCCTGGTGCTTGGCTGAGCAGTGACAGCAGGCCCAGCCCAGGTGGGGATGGCCGCAGGTACCTGCGCTGTCCTGCTGAAGCAGCCGGGGGCGGGTTCCCGTTCTTGTGTCCCGTCCTTGGCGGCATCTGGCAAAGAGCGAGCGCAGCCGGAGCTGAGGGGCTGCAGGAGAGGCCAGAGAACACAGCCCAGCCCTGCGCTCCCCAGGCAGGGAGAGCTTCGGCATGCCCTGGGGGATGGAGCACGGCCGCCTGCAGGCCCAGCCCCGCTTCTGTCCCATCCATGGCCATGTCCACAGGGATGGGATGGGGCCAAGCTGGCCGCAGGCACCAGCCCTACGGCCCAGCTCTGCCACTCACCCTCCTGCAGCAGCTGGAACTGCTCCAGCTCTTCAGGCTGCTGAGCTGAGGCAGCTCCAGCCTCCTCCTTCTCCAGCCTGGCCAGCTTGGGCATGCTGGAGGGTGTGTGCTCCATGTCACACTTTGGTGTTGAGTGCTTGCTGCAGCAGAGGTGGCTCAGAAAAGCTCCAAATGAGCAAGTGCTGCAGTTGTGCCTTGAAGGCACCTGAAACGCTGAAGCCTCGGGAAGGCTACAGGACAGCAAGTCCTGCAGCCTGTCCTCGAGGCCACCAGCAAGAGAAAGGTCTCAGAAAATAAATGGGACTGTCAGTCCCGCAGTTTGTCCTCGAGGGCACCGGCCGCAGGGACGGCAGACGCTTCGGAAATGCTCCGCGTCACCGAGTCCCGCAGCCTGGCCTCGAGGTCACCTGCACAGAGAAGGCCCTGGAAAAGCTCCGGGTCAGCAAGGAACGAGTTGCTGTGTGGGGGCTCCTCACAGCAGGGCTCGGTCCCGTCCTGGCCCGTTGCATGCACCGAGCACAGTGGCGTGGCCGCGTCACCGCCAGCACCTATGTCACAAGGTGTCACAAAGGGTCACCCTTGCACACACTGTCCCTTCCCATCCCACGGGGATCACGGTGCCCTGTGTCACAAAGAGCCCTAGGACACGCCTCCACGTGCCCTGGGGACACCCCCACCCCACCCAAACTGCCCCAGCTTGCAAGGAAGACCTTGCCCCAAGAGTTGAAGCCACAGCCCAACAGGAACTTTGGGAGCAGCTCAAACAACAAGCAGCTGCTCCTCTGCTCTGCCTGCTCAGGGCAGCAGAATGAGCCCCCATGGATGCCAATGGAGCTGGGCAGGAAGGGCACTGGGGCCTTCCACAGAACATGCCACAGCCTCTTTGGGAACAGTCCCGGTGCTCAGTGGCTGTCACACACGCAGGGAGTGACACAGACACAGAACGTGTGGCCCAAAGCACCAATGCTGCTCTGTCCCCTGGGGAGCGCTGACAGCAGCAGGCGTGGCAGAGTCCCTGCCAAAGGAGACCTGCCACCTCCCAAGCCCTGCCAGACCTGTGGCCCCGGGCACTTCTCTGCCAGAGGACAGCCCAAGCCAACGTGTGTTGGTGTCTGTGTGATCCTTTCTGCAGGTAGCTGTTGGCAGGAGCACCTGGAGCAACACATGGTGGCCATACTTGGTATCTGTCACAAGGCAGAAGATTGTGCCCCTTCCTGGAATATAAAAGAAAAACACTACCCACTGTTGACTTTCCCAGTACAATTACAGTCTGACAGAGATAATGTCAAGTTTCCTTGTGTTCTTCTAACTTGGTGTTTTCCTTGCTTTCTGGATAAGAACCAGTGTCTGATGCCCCGTGCTCTGATTCCTGCCCGTCTGGCCGTGGCCAGCAGCTCACGTCCAAACACATCTGGGTGCCTTCGGGGCAGGGGAATGGACTGGTATAAGCAGTGATTCTCCCTGGTGAACCTGGCAGTGACCCAGGAACTGGAAAAGATTTGGGACCAGTCCTGAGGCATGGTGGCAATCATAAACACATGGTGTGACACAGACACAGGACAGGTGGCCCAGAGTACCAGTACTGCTTTGTCCTCTGGGGAGCACTGACATCAGGAAGTGTGGCAGAGTCCCTGAGGAGGGTGTGGGCATTGAACGCCTTCCTGGGCTAACTGGTGACAGCTGAGCTGGCCATGTGCTTGCTGTATCATCTTTATGTCCTGCTTCACACTGGATTGTTCCATGTTCATCTTTCCCACCTCCTTGTGGAGACCCTGGCTTAAACCCATGGCCTAGGAGTCCTCATTCTGCCCTGTGTAGCCCACCACACAACCAGGTCAGCAGGGATGGATCCTGCACCTCCTGCCCAAGCCAGGCTCTGTGCTGGATCATGGATCCCACCTGAACAGCAAAGACCTGATCCCACAGCTTCAACCACTGCCTGCACAGGGAGGACAGAGGCAAGCACTGCTAAGGAAGTGAGGAGTCAAAGAACAGGGGGAGTCTGGTGGGGGAGCTCCTGCTCCTCCGGCATGGCCTGAAGGTTTTCACAAGACTGTAAATCTGATGTCAGCCTCACCCTCGATGGCAGAATCCAGCAGCTAGTACAGACTGACAGTGTCCATGTCTACTGCTCTGCCCAAATCCACAGCTCCTGTCCTGGGGGAGCAGGAGCCTTTCTGCCTGCAAGGGATCCTCCTAGGTAGCAGGGGTAGTTAGCTGTGAGCTCACGGCAGATGATGCAGAGACAGCCAAGCTCCCAAGAGCATCTTTCTCTGGACAAGGTGGATAGCTCTGGCAGGCACCAGATGCTCGCACAGTCAATTGATAAACACAGGCTGATAGAGAAAGCAGGAGAGGCTCTTTGTATGAAGTTCCAATGGCAGCTTAATAACAACACCACTGAAGGAAGTCAGGGAGAGCAGAGCCCCGAACAGAGGAGGGTCCAGGGGTTATAAACAGCCAGAAGTGGGCAGGATATCATGGTCTGAGGGCCAATGGGTAAAGGGACTAGGGGTGGAATGAAGGCGGGGCAAGGAGGAAACAACCAACGGGGATACAGTGGGGGAGTGTCTACAAAGGTAAGCCAATGGGAAAACTGGAGACAGTGAACTTTCCAGGACTGGGGAGGAGAATATGGATGCTGTCACTGGGGTCATTAACATACAGAACCTGGGGAAACCAGAGGGCTGTGTGGAGGACTGTCAGGGTGTCATTCAAACAAGTGTCCTCCCATGGCATCCTGGTTTCCCCCTCACCCACCTGGGATGCTGCAGTTAGCCACAAGCCTTCTGCTCCTTCCTGCCCAAAATCTCAGTGCCTGTTCTGGAGGGACAGGAGCCTTCCTGCCCAGCAGGGTTTTTCTAGGGTCAAAGGGGTGATTAGCAGTTTCTTTCTGTCCTAAGAGAAGCCTTTGTCCCAGAGGGCATGCTATTGGGTGGGTTAGGTAGGATGTAGGGGTGGACAGCCAGGAGCCTCCTTCTGTCCTGGGGGGAGCCTTCCTGCTCAGAGAGGACAGTGTAGTGTAGAAGATGTGAACAGTCAGCAGGCTCCTTCCTCATCTTCCCCCACAGAGAACTGAAACCTGTATGGTGCACATCCCCCTCCTCATGCCATTTCTTCCTCACTGGTCTCCCATTGCTTGGCAGTGCTGCATGCTGAGCAGCAGGTAGATTGTAACCTCATAGAGTCCTTGCATCCTCCTGCCACAGACAAGGACACCTTCCACCAGACCAGGCTGCTCCAAGCCCCGTCCAACCCAGCCTTGGACACTTCCAGGGATCCAGAGCAGCCACAGCTTCTCTGGGCAGCCTCTGCCAGGGCCTCAGTACCCCAAGAGGGAAGAATTTCTTCCTAATAGCCCATCTAACCTTGCCTGCTGGCAGTGGGAAGCCATTCCCCTGTTGTCCTGGCCTTCCAGATGCCTGTCCAAAGTCCTCCTCAGTCTCTCTTGGAAGCCCTTTAGGCACTGAAAGAGGCTCCCTGGAGCCTTTCCTTCTCCAAGCTGAACACCCTCAGCTCTTACCTTTTCCTCACAGGAGGGGGCTGTAACCCTTGGAATATCTCTGTGGTCGTCTCTGGATTTGCTCAAACAGCTCCATGTCTTTCCTGTGCTGAGACCCCAGGGCTGGAGACAGCTTTGTGTTGCAGCATATGTCACAGCACAGGTTGCAGTTGAGACAGCCACGATACACAGAGTGTCACCATAAAATTTCAGAAAACTTCAGCCCATACAGAACAACACCTCACCACTTCAGAAGGCTTCAGGCATCTGCCCTTCTTGTTCTTCAGCCCAGCCTTTTATCCCCTCATGCTGATGCCCTGCCCCTGTGTGCCCTCTGCCCCCTTTGGTGGTTGGTCAGTGCCCCTGGGCACTCCATGGCTCGTTGCTGTCAGTGCTGCTCACCTGCTGCTCACAGCTGCACCCACTGGGGGTGAGGCTGGGCCAGCCCCACACCAATCACTACAAACTGTGTCCCTACAGCTTTGCAGGTGTTCAGGTCTCACCTGAGCAGGGCAGAGGGACAGAATGCCCTGTCCTTCTGCCCATGCTGTGGGACCAGCCCAGGACATGGTTGGTTTCCAGGGGTGAGTTCACGTGGCCCAGGCATGTCCAGCTCCCACCCACTGGTACCCACAGCCCTTGGCAGGGCTGCTCTCAATCCCTCCATCCCCCAAGGTGGATTGATGCTGGGGGGTGCCCTCACTCAGGTGCAGCATCAGCACTTGGCCTTGTTGAACCTCATGAGGCTTCCATGGGCCACTTCTTGAGCTTGTCCAGGTCCCTCTGCATCATTCAGTCCTTCAGTTGTGTCATTGCACCCTCAGCTTGGTGTCATCTGCAAACTTGCTGAGGGTGCACTCAATCCCTTTATCCATGGATTCATAAAAATATTACACAGTAGTGATCCCTGTACAGACCCTGAGGGTCACTTGCCTTCTCCTTGCCTCTTACCTAAGTCATGGTAAGACTACCATGACCTTGGAAGTCCATGTGGGACAAAGTAGGTGGCATCATGTCAAGAGACAGTGCTTAGGATCACCATGGTCATGGCTAAATCTTGGATCTCTTTTTATTGCATGTAAAAAAACAGTCTGCATTTGTATCTCTCTTTTCATGTGCTGCAACTCTTGAGAAACAGATTCCTTCCAAAACAGAAAAATAATTTCAGAAACTTTTCTTGGAGGAGTCTGGGGTTGCCATGCAGGATATCAGGTCCCAAAAGACCTGATAGATCAAAAGACTCCAGCTGCCTGGGATGAATCTTGAATAGATTCCAGAGCTGAGAGTTTCTCCAAAGGAGAAAAATCACCTCAGGTAACATCTTGGAAGTAGTCTAGGACTGACACCTAGGATCTCTGAAATCAGAGATCAAAACATTCTAGAAGATCCCTGGGAAGAGTGTCAGAGGAATCCTGGAAGAAGCAGTTTCTATCAAACAAGAATTGTACTGAATATATCCTGTATCTACTTGATCTCTTCTGCATGTGCTCAATCCAAAATTGCAGCTTGCAGCAGATTTTAACAACAGGTGAAATCCAGACAGCCATATCCTCTCAAGACATCACTGCATAACACTTGAATAATTCAGTTTCAGCAAGAAGAAATTTAAATGCAGAGTAATATTGCACACAGGTGTAAAGATGTTCATAATTTGGAAAAGGCAAACAGGGCTGAGTTGAGTCAGCCTAAGTTGAATCTTTTTAAATAAATAAGTTTTTTCTGTCTTGCTTATCCGCATAAGCGTAAGCAGCAGGATGAGGGAAGGGATTATTCCCCTTTAGTGAGCTGCTTCCTTGATTACATTTTTCTGTGGCTAAATGCATTAGAGGAGGCACAGGCTCCCAGCATGGTTTGGTGGATATGATGCCCACACATATGGGGACAGGCAACCCAAGCCATGTGACATGAGGCTGCTGTGCCAGCTCCCCTCTGCCTGGGACACACACTAGCAGACAAAGGAAAACACAGTGAAGTTCCTCTTGCATCACCCTTAGCAGTTTATTATCCCATCTGACTTCCAGCTCTGACAATGACCTGTGAATGCCCCATGGCACCATGGTCTGAGTTGGGGAAGCGTGGAGCCCTGGGGCTCAGGCTGTGCCATGATGCCAACCACCTCACAGCTTTCTGCTTCAGCTGCCCCTTTTCCAAGGGATGGTGGCGACTTCACTTGTGGAAGCTAGGTGCCACCAGTGGGGGGACAGAACAATAAGAGAATTAAGCAAAGCACTCCTTTTCTCACACATCTGGGGGAAGACAGCTGTCCATCCCCTCCCAGCACAGGCTCCAGAGTAGAGCAAGTAACTCAAAGGCCATCACTGGCACCCACAGTACAGAGGTCAGCTCAGCAGGGATTGTGCAGTGCCCCCCAACCCCCAATGGTGGGCACAGGGGAGACCCAAATCCCACACTCTTGGTATCACAGACAGCCTGTGACAATAAATGCAGCCTTGCAACCCAGGATGAGAGTCTGTCCAAATGTGGAATACAACACAGCTCGGCAGCTTCATCTGATCTTCAAAATGGTCTGAAAAGGCACTTCACTCCCCATCTGGGGATGGAGAACATACCTGGAAAAAACCTTAGAAAGGGAATGTTTAGAAGAGGTTCAACAGCAAGCAGAGGCTCTGCAGCACCGGCACAGCACCCTTCCCTGGCAGCAGTCCACATGCTAAGGTCAGCATGGAGAAGTCCCATGCAACACACACCGCCACGGCCCCATGCTGACACCGGGATCCAA